AAACTAGGAAAGAAAAGAAGATGCATACATTTAAAAGAAATGGAAATAAATCGAAGAACAAGATCTAATCCAAAATCCTCGCGTCGGACTGGCCGCATATTTCTTCATGAATTTATGGAGAAGAGGGGAAAAATTTGCTTTATCTCATGTGCTCGTCCGTTGCCGAGTCTTTTCTTCATTTTATGTTACGAGGCTACATGGCTTTTCGCGTTTAAAACGAATGCCCGTGTCACGGTTTAACAAAATTCACCTTTCTCCTCTTATTTCCCATCCTCTTATTCGGCATTTCTAGCCGTTCTTTGCCTTGGTAAACAGTCACGACCAATGAGTAAATACGAGTATAGACATTTTTGATAAGAAAAATGAAGGAACATAAATCTTCGATGGAAAAACTCGAGCGGCGAGTTGAAAATGAAAAAGAAAAGAGCAAACGTTTGATGAATTTCCATATGATTTAACTTACAATTTTATATTAATAAAAAATCATTTATAAATGATGTTGAAACAACGAAACATCGATAAAGAATCGTTATCTAATTAGTTAGAAATATTCTTTAAATCTATTGAATTATTCCAGGTTCGATTTCTTCTGAAAAAATGATCACTTATTCGAAGAATTTATATTCATGATATTCTGCACACAATTTTATAATCGAAGCATACAAAATTTATGAACGTTCGAAATACTATTCAACTTGGGAAATTTTTTCAGATCGCTTATTCCGCTCTTAAGATATACCCCTTATTCCAAAATTTTCGTACACGATATATTGTAATTTTGCAAAATTGCAAAACCTTTTCAGAATCAGGGGGAGAGAGGAGCGGATGAAAACACGCGATCCTCGGGAGCAGGATCAATGAAATTTTCCAAAACTAGTGCAGATCTCCGTGTCCAGGGTCGGTATTACGATTATCATGATTGGAATATAATGCAAGTGGCGTAGAAGATTCTCAGAAACGCGGTCGAAACTTGTATCGTTTGCGGTTCACCGGCCATCCGACGGAGAAAACAAGGGGTTGTAAGGATGAAGACAGAGCGGATAGAGGAAGGAGGGGTGGCACGGGGTGAACGGCCACGTGCAATCTCACGGCTGATTGCGCAAGTTTTACAAGTTCATCCGATATCGCACAGTCGCAATACCATGGAAATGGACAGAAGCAGAAATCGGTGCCGATCCTCTCCCTCTTTGTCCCTGGTTCGTTTCGTCGCCACGAGGGACCGATGCAAGGAAAGTGTACGGGAGCAAAAAAGGGGGAAAAAAGAAAGAAAGAAAGAAAGAAAGAAAGAAAGAAAGAAAAATGAATCGAAGAAATTGCGAGAAATCGATAATCGAAGTAACGTCATAGGGTTATCTTTATCGAAGAGAGACAGTATTGAGTGCGATTTGACTGGACACAACAGCCAGCAGATTGTTGAAACGAGCGAAAAATTTAATTTCGATTCTAGCCTCGAGTGAGGTAATATCGCTGAAGAGAAATGAAAATCGATATTTCATTCGTTGACTATTTATGCTGCGAATTATTTTTCCTCCGCGACTCAGGACATATATCTGTTTTACGAGGAAGCTAAAGGAATATTAGATGAATACGCAGCGAAAATGAAGAGAAACGCTTCTATCTCCGTTACATTTTATTTAACGTAAACTTAAATGAGCTTGTAACTTAATGAATAAGCGATTTTTGTGTTTTAACTTTTAGAATGAATCTTTCATTCCAAGTCCTATGAGTATATATTAGTATCCTGTATGCAACACTGAAGTATTCATTATGTTCTTGTTTTCTTTTTGTGATAATCTTGTCATGAAAATTGAATTAGATTTAATTTAAATTGGAAGCATAATTGCGCGGCATAATTGAATTTTTAATTTACTTAAGGATTACTTAAGGATTATAGCGCTTGAAATACATTTCGATACATCTTGTAAAATATCAAATTCCAGATATCAAATTCAGATAGAATATTTTTAATTAAGAAAGTAAATAGATATTTGACAAATTGATCGAAACTTATCGTCGATCGATAATTAATTTTTCTGCAAAAGATTCGGAAGATCGTTTCATTTTTCCACACGAGTTAAATTCTTTCGATAACTAGGAAAGGGGGACATTTAGTTTTTTCAAACTACGACAGAAAGCTACGTTTCATTCCCTGATTCGCCATTTCGAATGGAACAAGCGCGGTGGATTTCAATAGCAGGCGAAATCGAACAATTTTCGTGATGGTACGACGAAACTTCTTTGTCCTTTACTAATCGAAAATTTAGAACGGAAGAGATCAGTGAACGAGAACTATGAACATGCTTTATCTTTATACCCTTTAATTGTTCATATCACGATTCTCATTCTCATGAATTGTTGCATGGGATGAAAATTTGCAACAAATTCTTTCTCAATTCTACGATCTTTTTTCTTTTTTTTCTATAAAATTCTAATATTTCTTTTTACAAGCAATATCTTATTTTTTTATACGAAAATCGGACAAAAATAAAAATAATATGCGAAGGAATAAAAGGAATGGAGACCAAAAAACACGATTCGAACGAACACGACACACGGCGAACGTGATTCGAAAATATTTATTTTAATGGTAAAAAAATTTTAATGGAATTTTTGTTTCCTTTTTCTATGTATCTGTATGTAGTTGCCGATGAATCATAGTGGCTGCAACATCGAATAGAGTAAAATTCCCGTACATACGTGATCGTTGAAACGCGTTGCCAATGTATTTCTCAATTATTTCGAACAAAGAACCCCCCTGCGTTCGACGAAGCGTATAAATTTT